GTGGCACAGCCTCCGTCATCACCCATGCTGGGTACTCGAGGTGTGCCTTTTGTGTGGGCTGAGTACACCTTCCTCTTGAAGTTGAGGCTTGATTGCTGTTGGCATGCCAATGGGAGGGATTTACCCAGGCCAGTCAGCTGCAAGGACTGGGTTTGACCACTGACCACCAACCTGGGCCCTCTGCGGAAGTTCAGTCGTTCAAGGGCAGGGTGGTGGTACGCCAGTGTGATCTGGAGCTGTTCACTGGGTGCGCAGGCCGTGGGGTTTCCGGGGTGGTGCAGGCCACAGTCAGCCCCATCTGTGTTCTGCCTGGGGCCACCCTGCATCCGCTATCTTGGAGATTCCCAAGTAAAGCTCAGCTGCGAATCTAGACTGGCTGTTTTTAGTGTTGGGCCTGGGACCACTTAGCAAGAGACACAGGGGTTGGAGACTTACTGAGGCTTGCTGTTGCTTGTTTGATAAGATTTAGGAAATTGTGAAGCATAAGCTAAGACCTTCAATTCATATGAAAACGTCACTGTTAACCCCTTGGGTAGGCCCATACACTGGGTGGGACAGAGTCTCAAGGGATCTTCAGGGAGGGGCAAAGCTTTTTAGACAGGTTGATATAGTCTCATATATGGCACCCACCTGCTGGCTCTGCGGCTCTGTGCAGGGGAGGGCTGAGAAAACGGACAATGGCCTCTTTCTGTCTTTCTCTCTGGGGGAAAGCTGTCCTCCAGCTCCCACTTTGATGCCAGGCACTTTAGTTCCTCCCTGTATGCCACTGGTGCTTTTGGAGCTGCTACCCTGGTGCTGGGCTTAGAGGGTATGCATCTGAATAAGCCTGTGTGTGGGCTTTTTAAGGGGAATTACTTGGGACTCCAGACATTTCTTTCACCGACTCATTTCCCACTGTTTTTTACAGCCAGAAGTTATGGGAGCTTATCTTCCTGGCACTGGAACCCTGGGCTGGGGGACCTTGTGTGGGGCTGGGACTCCCCACTCCCAAGATACCCCTTCTGAATTTTTATCCATGACATGTAAGTATGGGACCAGCCCGTTCTGCATCTCTGCCCTTTCTACCAGTCTGGATGGATATGGTTTCATTTAATTCTGTAGTTATCAGACTTCCATTCAACTCAATTTCTGGTGGTTTTGAGTGATGGTCGTTCTATGTTTTAGTTCTAATTTTAATGTGGTTATGAAAGGAGGCGAGATGTGTTTACTTATGCTGCCATCTTGACCAAAAGTCTTTTTTCTTTTCTTATATGAAAACTGAAATAGTTTAATGATTGGTCACTAGTAAATAAAAATAAGCACACATTTCAAAACTTAGCCTTTGTTAATAACCTTTTATTAATCAATAGGCTTTTTCTTGAGCAATTATGTATAGTTACAGAGTTCCCTTATACTCCTTCACTCCCTCACTTCTATTATTTTTAGCATCTTGTATTAGTGTGATACATTTGTTATAATTGATTCTCCAATTTGATACATTGTTAACTATAGTTCATAGGTCTACATTTTTGTGTTGTACATCCTATGGGTTTTGATAAATGTATCACTATTATTACAGTACCCTACAGAAAAATAGTTTCACTGTCTTAAAAATCTCCTGTGATCTACATATTCCTCTCTCTCTCCCCTAGTCCCTGGAAACCACTGATGTTTTTATTGTTTCCAGATTGCCATATAGTTGGAATCATACAATATGTAGCCCTACTTTCATTAGCAATATTCATTTAAGGCACCTCCATGTCTTTGCCTGGATTGATAGCTCATTTCTTTTCATTGATTAATAATATTCCATTGTGTGGATATGTCACAGTTTATCCATTCACCTACCAAAGAATATTGCTTGGTGCAATGGGTACACAATGCTGTATGGAGATGATGTTTTGCTGAGTTGTACACTTGAAACCTGTATGACTTTTGTGAACCAATGTCACCCCAGTAAATTCAATAAAAAATAAAATTAAAAAAAAGAATGTCTTAAGTATCATCAACATTAATTTTCATAACTTATTTTTATTTTTATAATTTTACAGTTATTTTATGTTTTTAATTACTGGTGATTTAATTTTTTTTCCTTAGCTATACAGTTGTATTTCCTCTTTTGCATACTTCTGATTCATGTTGTTTGGCCATTTATCTGTTAGAGGTTTACACTGTTTTTCTTATTGGTAGCCATGAATTACATATACATATACATATACACAGTGAAAAGTTGGCCATTTGCCTTCTAGATTTGCTCAAATGTTTTCCAAGTTTGTTATAGATCTCTCAATTTTTATTTTTCATATATTTTAATTATAGCTAAATTATTTATATATGACCATATAAATTTTATATGGGCCTATATATTTATATAATTTAATATTTACTTTTATTAATTGTGGTAATTGTGGTAAAATACACATAACATAAATTTACCATCTTAACATTTCTGTGGCTATATATTTTTGAATTAGTTGTATTTGTGAAGGTGTAAATGATTACATTTAAAAGTTTTATTTTTAGTAATAATTTTGGAGTACAAATATATTAAATCATCATGTTGTATACCTTAAATTAATACAATGTTATATGTCAATTATATATTAATACACCTGGAAAAATCTTATTTTACAGTGAGTTAATTGTACCAAGTCCATTCATTCCATAGACAATGATTAAGCATTTACTATGATAAGCAATGATAAAAAATTTAGATAAGATATAGTCTTACAGTCTAGTGGAGGAGACAAACAAATATCCTAGAATTGTTTGTGACAAATGAAGTGATAGAGGTATACACAATATACTGTAGGTACATTATTCATTCAACATGTACTTTAGTAATTTCTAGGGTCCCTATATTCAAAACTCAACCAAATAGCCACGGTCCATGATTTTTAAAAAAAGAGAGAAAGAACCCTGGAACAGAGGATACAGGTAAAGTCACTGTGTGATTTATTGATTTATTGTGTGAAGACTGTCATGATAAAGAAAGCATGGGCTGCTCCACCTAAATCAAATCAAACTGGCTTTTTGACTCCCTGGCTGCCTTTGGATCGACCACCATCATGAACAACAGAGGAACTGCCTGGACCAGGAAGTTCGTGACCAACTGACTACTTCAACAGAAATAAGTGGTCATTGATGTCCTTCACCCTGAGAAAGCAACAGTGTCTAAGACAGAAATTTGGGGATGACTAGCCAAAATGTACAAGACCACGCCAGATATCATCTCCATATTTGATATTGAACTCATTTTGGTGGTGGCAAGAAAAGGGACTTTACCATGACTACGATTCCTTGGGTTACACACACATGAAAAATGAACCATGCACAGATTTGCCAGACATGGCCTGTATGAGAAGAAACAGACCTCAAGGAAAGAGAGAGAGGGTCACAGGAACAGAATGAAGGGAGTCAGGAGGCTCTTAGGCCAGTGTTGGTGCTGGCAAAGAGTGAGCTGGATCGGGGACAACAGAAGGAGTCAAGATGCTGCCATGACTATATCTGCATGATCGTGCAGATTTTTCATGAGAGGACTAATAAACTATACATACTTTTTAAAAATTTAAATAAATAAGTAAAATGAAACAGGAAGTTAGAAATGATTTCCAGAGGAAGTACTGACATTTTGAAAACAGATGGACGTGAGCTTGAGAAGTGGGGGAGACACTTCCTATGCAGAGAACACATGTACCAAGGCACAGGGGTGTGAGTGAGTTAAGATGTGTACTACTTGTCGAAAGGTGTTTGCTACGGCAGAAGGGAAGGCTGCGGCATGCAGTCAACTGACAAGAAATGAAGCTAAAAATGAAGGCAGGAGCCAAAACTTTGCCTTTCATGCTAACTCCTAGTATCACTTCCTGCATAATCTTTCCCTTTCACATAAAAATAATAAGGATAATGTTTATTGAGTGCTTACTATGTGTCCATTTCTGTTCCAAGAGCTTCACCTATATTTAATCCTCATAATAATCTATGCAGTACATACTAGAACTATGGCTTTTCTTACATAAGAGAAACTGAGGTAGAGAAAAGTTGAGTAACTTCTTTCTAGACACACAGCTATATTTAAAATTAGGCGATCTAACTCCAGAGGCCAAACCATTAACTGCTCTGCCTATCATTAGTATGTGATATTTCAAGTATTTAAAACATTAACTTTTTCCACGTTTATTTGGAGGTCCTAGGGTCTGTACAATGTTTCTTTCTATTTATTCTTATTCCAGATTCATGCTGTTTAAATTGTGCTTTTTAAATATTTTCATATATGAAGGTAGCCTGTGCTTTCACTATTTTCTTTTCCAGATTTTTTTTGTAACCATTGCCTATTTATTCTTCAAGCAAACTTTCACAATGATTTTGTTTTAACTAAAATTTGGGATGAGAGGATTTTGGTTAAAAGCACATTAAATTTATAAATTAAATTGGAATGTACTCAGTGTTTCCATCCATAAAGTGATATACATTGCTTCATTGTCTTTCAAAAAATTCAATACATTTTAATAATTTTCTTAAATTAGGGAACATTTAATAAGATTATTCTTAGATTTATTATAATTTTGTGCAAGTGTAATATGATTTCTAATTCTTTATTATTGGCCTATAGGAATGCTATTTATCTGCCTATAACATTGTTTTTCCTGAAATGTGAAATAATAAAATGACCACTCAAAAATTATAAAAATAAAAAAGGCATACGCCATAGCAATAATGTTCAAAAGTTCCAAAAAGATTTGGGTCAATATGAAAGGCTACAGAGAAAATATCGCAGTTTTATTTATTGTTTATATATGTTTTATTAAACATTGGAACTATTGTCACTGATTCATTTTCATCTAATTTTCCCCAGAATAAGAGAATGAACTGTGCTGGTGGCCGTAACAGAGCCACCTCCCTCAGATTACGTTGCTTTCCCTGACCCATCCTAAGTCTCACACTTCAAGCTAATCATTGACAGAGCTTTACAATCACAAGCTTTTACTGAAGCGTTGATAAGACAGTCAAGCAGTTAGTGGCAAATGAAGCCAGGCTGTGCGGCAGGGTCTCCAGGGAATGAATGGATTTTCTTCAGCACTGATGAAAGAAACATTCGCTATAGGGAAACAATGTCCAGCGGGGGTCTGCAAAGATCTGTCATCCTGTCAACATTTATTCTCCTACGAGCTGTTACTGGATATTCCGGAGACGGAAGAGCTATATGGTCTAACAAGCCCAATTTTAGCCCCGTAAACGAAAGTCAGCTGTTTCTCTATGACACTTTTCCTGAAAACTTTTCCTGGGGCGTTGGGACTGGAGCATTTCAAGTGGAAGGGAACTGGAAGACAGATGGAAAAGGTCCCTCTATATGGGATCATTTCACCCATACACACCTGAAAAATGTCAACAGCATGAATAGCTCCAGTGACAGTTACATTTTTCTGGAAAAAGACTTACTGGCTCTGGATTTTATAGGAGTTTCTTTTTATCACTTTTCAATTTCCTGGCCAAGGCTTTTCCCCGATGGAATAGTAGCAGCTGCCAACGCAAAAGGTCTCCAGTACTATAATACTCTTCTGGACGCTCTAGTGCTTAGAAACATTGAACCTATAGTTACTTTATACCATTGGGACTTGCCTTTGGCACTACAAGAAAAATACGGGGGGTGGAAAAATGAAATTATAATAGATATCTTCAATGACTATGCTACATACTGCTTCCAGACGTTTGGGGACCGCGTCAAGTATTGGATTACAATTCACAATCCATATCTAGTTGCTTGGCATGGGTATGGGACAGGTATGCATGCCCCTGGAGAGAAAGGAAATTTGGCAGCTGTCTACACTGTGGGACACAACCTGATCAAGGTACTGTACAGCTGGCTTCATATTATAGCCTCAGACTATAAGGAGCAGGAGTTAAAAAGAAACCCTAAGGAATGTATCTTCTGTTTAAATAATTCTCTTTATTGAAATCAACTCAACTAATTTTAGCCTAACTCATAAATTCTAGCCTCAAACTTCATATGTATATAGTGTATATTTTATTTATCTAAGATATTATTAATATATTAATCCAATTATTTTTGTGGGAAGTTCATTTTTAAAAATGAAATTTTTTTTATTTTTAAATAACTATCTTTAAATCTACAATTATACATCAGAGCATGAGAATATGAGTTTCCTTTCATTCTGTGGAAAAACAGTGCTTTACAAATTTAACTGTTGGAAATCCTTTTCTGACAACCTGCAACCATTTCAGAATTATGTTAAGGTATGGCCATTTTAAATATGTATTTGTTGTTACTATCCCTATTCTTAGTAGTACTTAGCTATCGTAAGCTAAATAAATGTTAGTTAACTGATACATATTAAATGCAAGAATTGAAATAAATGTAATTCACAGCTGTTTTTATTTATGTTACATAGCAGAAAAGATGAGATTAATTGTTCCAGGACTTAAAATTAAACTAGTAATAACAAAACTGAGAAGAATATACTCTACTAAGTGTTAAAGCAGTATAGTTCAAAAGCTGGGGTTTATGTTGAGAAAAGTTAAAATTACTAAACAATAGTGAAACTATTAGCAAAATAAGTTAATATTCATTGAATATTTACTATGTGTAGCAGACTACTTGAAACATTTTACATGCATTATCACATTTAATCCTCGTGATAATCTTATGAACTAGGTCCTATTTTTATCCCCATTTTAAAGATGAGAAAACTGAAGCTTAGCAAGATTAAATAACTTGCCCAAGGTTACAGAGTAAAATGTAGCTGTTGTGAACATGGGGTTTATAAATGACAAAATAATTAAACACTAAATGTCTCTATTAAGAATATTTTTAAAGGAACAGTCTTTTGAAAATTTTCAAGATATTTTGCCTCACATTGAGGCTGACATCTAGAATCAGGTTTAAGTTTTTGAGGCAACTACTTTACTTGGGAAAAATAAATTACTCTGGAAAACTGTGACATTTTGAAAATTTTTTAAAAAATCAGTAGGGTCTCATCATGTGGTAGGAGAGGTAATGAGATTTTGAATCATCAAATGTTAAATATATAGAAAGAGAAAAAAATGTATAGGAACATAACATTACTCCATGTCGAAATTTGCAGATACAAATATATCTGCTAACCCTTCTTTTCTTTGTGAATTTCCTGAGTTATTACCCATGTTCATTGCACTATGATTCAGTCAACATCTGCCCTTGCAGTAAGCTGATTGCATTATGATTTCAAGGTCATTTACATATCTTTGTATAGAGTTGTACGTACAGCTTAATCATGTGTGGGTATACTGCAAGTTGGGAAAAAAGACCTAAAGGGGAAGAAAACTTACAGCCATCAATTATGAATATTAAGCATATATAAGTTAGAAAAATATTGATATTTCTATTATCTAGTTCTTTTAATTATTTAAACAATACATGCTGGTGTAAACTGAGAAATATCAGATTGTACCAAAGGATATAAAGTGAAAAAGTTCAATTCTGCTTTCCCTCTCCACCTGGCAATTCCAACCTCAAATTTAAACCACTGTTAATAGTTTCTGATATAGTCTGTTTAAAGTTTTCTATGCAAATACAGGTACATATACAGTTATTTAACTTTTTATTTTAAAATTCTAAATTGTTGAAAGGTTTTCAGTTACCTGGGGAACTATTAACAATTAGAATTTTTATTTAAAAATATGTATAAATGGTTAATTTAAAGCCTTAAAAACTGGTTATCTGGTTAAAAACACACAGGAAAGAGTTGTAACTAACAATAGATATTGCTTCCAAACTTAGCATATAAAATATTATATTTTCATTCCTCTCCAATTTGAGATAAATGATGCCCATAACACAAAATTAACACTCTGATAGTGAGATAAATTTCATTGTTTTAAACTGAAAGATTACATTTTTCCCCCTGCAAATGTATTCCCCAAAAAGACAGACAGAAATCATAGAGACTTTTTTTGGTCACATCCTAGTGCAAACCAAAAGAACAACATCAGATTGTTCAAGGTCTGTCAGTGGATGCAGTAATTTTTAATTACTGTGTAATTAAAAACACAATAATTACTTGGAAAAATTATTGTGTTTTCCAAGTAATTTCTTCCATCTCTTGAAAATTTCTACATTACTAACCTAAATAAGGAGGGTAAGGGGTCCCTTGAGATCAGTCAGAAAGTGAAATACACTGCACAGTCCAAGACCTCAGAGCACCAGAGAGAAACCTGGCACTGGTTTGGTAGCCTGAGGTGAACTTGTCTTTCCCACTTGTCCCCTCTCTGCCCTTCCTTGAACACAGAGAAGATTAATTAAACATTTTATGTTGCGATGAAGTGTTTCTTCCTTCTTATAACACTTCGTGACCCAGAAGAAGCATTACTGTAGGATTAGTTTTTAGTCCCAGAACATTTATATAAAACTAAAGTCATAGATTGTTATAGACCACTTTATTCCCCCATCCTCAGCTATTGAAAGGATTGCATGGTGGCTACAGGGTCTTTTAAACTCCAAGATGATCTTGAAAACTCCACCTCAGTCTGAAATGTCTTGGTTGGGAGAGCACCTGAATTGTCTAGACAGTCACAAGGCTGACCTGGAATTTAGATTTCACTTGATTTCCAACCTGGCGATTACCTTAAAGCAAGTCTAAGCCTCAGGTAAAAATTTGTCATAACCACACCAACTAATGGATGCTCCGCTCTGACTTCTTAACAATACTCAGAACAGAAAGAGCATGCAGTGATTGACGTGACCATCTTTAAGCACAGCAATCATAGCTTTAAGGATTATCTATAATTTTGGCAACAATATTGCCAGGTCTATTATGATGCCCATTTTACATAATGGTACTTCATGCATCATGTCACTCCCCTGCATAAGATCTGTTAGTGATTCCCCAAAGTTTTGGGGATAAAGTCCCAACTTTCCATCAAGATCTTCAAGACACAAATCCAGCCTCCATTCCAGGCTTCTTCCTGGCCCCTCTCCCACCCCCACCGCTAACACCCACCCCTTGCACCTCCCGCTCCACTCTAACGCCCTGCTATCCGTGTCTTGATTTACCTTGCTACTCCCCTCCACGCAGCCTCCACTAATGCTCTATTCAGCTAGAATGCCTTTCTTACTCCCTGCTTTGCTGATATGATGTCCTTCAAGCCTCAATTTAAGCAGCTGCCACCTCTAAGTTATTCTTGATCTTTTAGGGTTAGGGTCCCTCCTGAAGGCTCATGTAATAAGATGTGCGCAGCACCCTGTATGGTACTTTTCTGTCTCCTCAACTAGGCTGCGAGTTCTTTGAAAGAAGAAGCTATTTTTTATTTGTCTTTATGTTTCCAGCACCTTGCACAGAATATTAGATACATGCTAGGTATAAATGTTTGTTGAATGAGTGGCTTAGGGTCTCTATCTTAAACCTGTAATCAAAGATCCACTCTCGAGTTCAAAATTCCTATTTCATTTCATTATCACTAATTTCTGAATTGCCTCTATTAATCCAGTGGTGTATTAATGTGGACTCTTTTGGTTGCAAGTGACAGAAGTCTAGTTCAAGTTGGCTTAAGCAAAAGTGGGCAATTTCCTGGTTCGGAAACCAAATCTCAGGAATGCATGGACCCAGTAACCAGCACACTCTAAGAAGCCCTTTATCTCGGTCTTTCCGGAACATTTTTCCCTATAGGTTGGCATCATTCTCCTTTGTAGAGGAAAGGCTTCTCTCTCCCAAGCTGCTTTGAAAATTTCAAACCATTTGACCTATGCTCTCATCCCTCAGATCAGCAGAGCCCCGGGGTTTCACATTAGCAAAGGCAGTCTTTGTGTGTTTTTATTTTTTTAGATCAGTATGAATAATAATTTAAATTTGTAGATTTCTTCCCCACTAAAAATGGAAAAGTTGAGAGCTTCTGAGTAAACATGCATAGAGGTTGGGGAAGATGAGTTTCTTCATGAGATGGTAGCTCACTCATTTATTGCTCCACTAAATACTGCCAGCTTCCATGGCAGTCTTGATTTCATGGTTCTAAATTATTATGTTTCATAGACATATACTGTTTACACAGTATCAGGATTTCTCAGCCTTGGCACTATTGACATTTTGAGCCAGGTAATTTTGTGTTGCAGTGGGCTGTCTTGTGCATTGTAGGATTTTTAGCAGACTATACCCACTAGATTCCAGTCGTACCCATGTCCCCAGCGCTATGACAACCAAAAATGTCTCCAGACATTGCCAAATGTCCCCCGCAGGGGAGTGCAAAAGTCCTCTCCTTTCCCTCCCTTGAAAACCACTGACTAAGCGGTTAGGGGCATGAAGCATAAAGAGCAAGGACATTGAAATATAACCAATATGAGGGACATAAAAAATGATAATTTATAAAATTTCCTCAAAATTGTCACCAGATCTGTAAGTTGCACACAAACTCAAAATTAAATTATAGTATTATCAGAACGGTTTTGGAGAAGAAACAGTGCTTGAAGAAATATTAAATGAGAAAATAATGTTGATGATTATATCTAATTTGACTTTTCACATATTGGAAACAAAGGCTGTCCCTACTGGCTTTGTGTTACTTGTGAAATACTTGAAAGTGCTGACCCAAACCGTTTCTCTTACATACACAGTTATTTATGAGCAAAACACTAAACTTACTTTTTGAAAGCTCCTAATTTTTTTAAAAGCAAAATTTAAAGATTCAAGCAAAATGTTATAGAAACCATTATTATCCATTTTTGATGCTGTAACATTTTTTCACAAGTTCAGTCTTTTGTGCATCACTCCATGTTGGGTTTTTTTGCTGGCTTTCTTTGTTTGCATAGCCAAGTACCACATGTACTATTATTTATTAAGACATTTTCCTGTAAAATGTTTGT